AACATAAGAGAATGCTTATTTCCCTATACCATTTTCAACAGAGTATTGTCAAATTTTAAAATTTTTGCTAATCTATTAGATGAGAAATAGTATCTGAAGGGAAAGTGAGGAACGAGAGACTGGTAAGCAAGAAACAAAGGACAGAGACCAGGCAGAGATACACACGAGAGCTTATTTGTCAGAGTTGATAAATAAAGGTCATCTCTCTATAGGAGAGAGAGACAAAACAGGCTTGAGTTCTGGGACTTTTATGGGACAGGCTCAGGAATCATAGCGAGGTGGGTCCTAATGCAGTGGTTAGGAGTTGGGTTGGTATGAAGGAGTGGTGAGCCTTTCTCAGAAACACCCTTGCCCTTGGGTGGGAAAGCATAAATGGTCGCTGTCACTTAAGATGGCCCTCCAGATGCTAAGCAAGGACCTTATTGTATCTATGCATAATCTTAATTTCTTTTTTTCTTCTCATGATCAATTTCGAGCATCTTTTCATTTGGCTAAATTCCAGTTACATTTCTTTTCTGTGAATTTACTGTTTATATTTGTAGCTGATTTTTCTATAGGATTGCTCTCTTTTCAGAAGCTGCTTATATACTAGTGACATTAATCTTTTTTCTTGCATATAAAATGCAAATATTTTTTCAGTTTGTCACTTTTATTTTATACTATATGGTCTTTCAGCCATGCAATTTTTTTTTTATGGTGGAACTTATTGATCCTTTTACTTCCCCATACCTGAGCCTTAGAGGAATTATTCATACATTCTTATGTTACCTGTATGTTACTTTCTTTTCATTTTTTAAAGTATTTAATTTGTAGTCCATTTCCACTTCTTTATTTTAGAGTGAAGATACTGTTTTTCCAAAATGAAATTTCCCCTATTCTGATATGTTCCTCATGCCTTCATAGCATCAGATATCTAAATATACTTACAGATACATCATTAATTACTTCTATCTATCTGGAATGAAAGTAACTATTTTCAGTGTCTAAAGCAAAAGTAAGGGAAATTTAGGGAAGAGGTTTTTGGGGAAAATAGTTTTCTTTCTTTCTTATTATCCTCTAGGCAGGTTTCTGAGAAATTTAATAAATTTAATAAATATTTTTATCTGAATAAAGTAAAAGTGACCATAGGCCCATACTTGTGTTTTCCATTGCAGAAGATGTAACCACCTGGAAGCCAGGGAAAAGAGGGTTCAGAATCTTTGGGTTGGACTCAACCCATCTTCTATCCCATTGATTGAAATGTGTGTGTTTCCTTTCCAGAAAGCAATGGAATGTTGCACCTCTCAGTTGCTTGAGGAAAGAGCCTAGGATATCTCTGCCCATGATTTAAAAAAACAAAACAAAACAAAACAAAACTTTGTTGTATTTATTTTACACAATAACTTTATTTTGTTTATTTAGTTTTTTGGTTTTTTGTTTTTTTAATGTATTCTCTAGTTGTTTTATTTACTTTTTTTTTTTTTTTTTTTTTAATGTGGTGCTGGGAATCAAACCCAGTGCCTCATTTATGCAAGCAAGCACTCTACCATTGAGCCACAACCCCAGTCCCTGTCATACTTTTTATTTATATTTTTAAATATTTATTTTTTAGTGTTAAGTGGATCCAATATCTTTATTTTATTTTTTGTGGTGCTGAGGCTTAAACCCAGTACCTCATACATGCTAGGCAAGCACTCTACCACTGAGCTACAACTCAGCCCCTGCCTATGATTCTTACTCTGGGATTCTGAGAAGGTAGACAGAGTTTGGCCAGGAAAATAGACACCACTTTGACTGGAAGAACTAACTCAGGGAATTGGAAGCTCCTGTAATTTGGAAGGCTTGAGGAGTAAAGGTCAGGAAAACTATTTCCAAAGATCTCAACCTAGAGCTGGGAAGAGACCCTTAAGTTCAAGGACCTCTGGGAAGCCCCTACCACCAGTCAATCTCACATTGAACCTGAGTTTGCTTTGGTGCTGCCAACAAGGGGCTGGAGTATAGGCACTTCCTCTTTTCTTCTAATGTTCAGCTTTGCATAAGCACTTCTCAGTGGCCCATCAAACCAGAGCTGTAGCAAGAAGGGGATTCTGGGAAATGAAATGTACAGATGGCTTCAACTAGGCAGTAGTAGAGGCAAACACTAACTAGCCCTTGTGTGGCTTTTAGGGAACACATTTTTCCCCTAGTTTGAATTCATTCCATTTTATCTTAACTCTTTGGATGCAAAAAAAAAAAAAGGTGTGGAGCCAACTGATAATAATAAAATAATAGGACTTAGCAAGCATTTATTTTGCACCAGGCACTATGTTAAAGTGTTTGTAGGAATGAAGGACAAGGAAGGAGGTTCTCACTTTCACAGTATTCTTTACCTGAGTTCCAACAATTATTACACTACATAGGAAAGGATATGTCTTACTAGGCCAGTATTCACTAATGAACTGATACATACTTAGACTGCACTAAAACAGTTTTCTTCCCAACTTCTTTCTTTAGTCATAATTTAAATATCTTTGTGGAGCACTATATTGCAGATTGTAGAATATCATGAATATCTAGTAATAAAATAGCCAATATATTTAAAATAGTTGAGAACACTTTGTAAAACTAAAAATAGTTGAGAACACTTTGTAAATATTAGTGCCCACTAAAATGAACCTGGCTAAAAAAAATATATACAAAGAAAAAATTTCGAGTAGGAAATGTAAACAATCAGATTGGAAGTCTTATTGTACCAGAAAGTTAAAATTAATAAATAATAATAATAATAGAGATCACTGAATGATATCAAAAGAATTCAGATGATTATGCAAAGAGGGTGCCATTGGCCAAATGAATAATTTGAAGATTAATAATAACAACTTCAATTAATTAAAATGTTTAAATTAATAATCACAATGATAAAAGGGGTAAAAATCTTCATTGGGGAATGCTAGTAAATAAACTCATTATTCTATAAACTGACAATAAAAGAAAAAAATTAACAGTTAATGTGCTTTTCTTCACATATGAGCGGTACTTCCACGTAACCAAACACTTCATAAGAATACAAATAATTCATAATTAAACTGGATTACTATTGCTTCATTAAATTGCAAATAAAATGAAGTAATTGGTTTATGATATTTATTATGGCTCTGAAATACCTTCAGACTAAAAATATCTCACAATTTCCTTACCGATGCTGTTTTAACTAAGTGGTACTAGATATTCATTAGTTGTCTCTCCCTTTATAATATGGGTACTCTGACACCTTTTTGGTCTTAGATTGGGATCTACATGCCAATTATGAGGTAAAGGGGAAAAACTCCCACTCAATATATTTTAAGATATATTACATACACATATGTACATATGGCTTAGAAATATTTTACAATTTCCTATCTTCTTCAAAATTGATTTTGATGGAAATTTGGAACCTGATTTCACTGACCAAAGAACATTGGTAAGAAAGGTAGCTTATATCTTCTAGGTACAGACACTGACAATTCTGTTAAGCCTGAGAATGGATCAAGATTTTATATAGGATGAGCTTGTCTACATATGGAATGGGTCTTCTTGAGGAAAGGTAAAAGATATTGAAATTTCATTTATAGAATTCTATTTGAGAAAACATCAATTTTCATAAAAGGAAGGCTTCTCTGGAAATTATAGGGCATGGGAACCATAAGGATCATAAAACTTTTTAATGTCCTTATTGCCCTAGACAGTGGGAGAAAAGGATCTCTGGGCCACTGTATATCTGGGAGGAAAATGATGTCCTATTCTAATGGATGATTGAACAGGCTTTAATAAAAGATTTATTTATAAGATATGGGAAGTCAACTGGCATGGCTGGAAGCCATTGAAGGAAGAGTAGGAAAGTTTTACCTGGGTGCAGAGAACTATGGCTGGAGCTGTAGAAGAGAATACCCAGACAGGAGATGTGACCTGCAGTGGAGAAATTCAGTCACTGCCAACTTGGGACCTAACAAGAACTGACATGTTTCATTTCCTCTCCTCTGTCCTCCTACTGGCACTTCTCACTGGATGAACTGGACAACTGGAAGTACCCACTGAAGTAGACCTTAAAATCAATGACTTGGCGTGGATGTCAGTGGGTCAGTAGACAGAGAAGGAGAAGGGAATAGCATGTCCCAAAGGCACATAGAGAAAAATTGCCAGAGACATCACCACTCCTTTTCCAGAGAAATGTTGTTAATTGATGGTCCTATCTCCATTTATTTATTTATTTATGTGCCATGGATTGAAACTGGGAGCACTTGTCTACTGAGCCACATCCCCAGCCTCCACTTCTTATACCATATTGAATCTCTGACTTTTACTTATCTGCAATCAGGACAACGTTTCATAATATTATGGTTCTTGGCAAAAATTTTCATAAATTCAGCACATATCCACCTATTCCTCATAAATATTCTGGAAAAGAAAACAGAAAATAGGTCACTCATCATTGAGTTGAGCCTAATCCTGGTTTCTGTTTATCCTTATTCATTCTCTTTATTCCAGTCTGAACTCCTGTGCCATTTCCCTTCTCTTTGGCCAAGGCAGACATCACCAATTGATCTTGGCTCTCTCTCCTGATGAGCTGAGATGCAACCACAGAATATTTCCTAACCTAGTGCTTGAGTGACCCAATCAATCAAGTGGAGTTGAATGACATCAGCAATATTATTAATTGGAAGCCTTCCTTGAGCTTTCTAAGCACTGAGGTCTCACCACTTCCCTTATACTCTGAGTTCCTTTTCTGTTGTCAAGTGTAGGTTCAGCGTTTCACCCCTGCTCACTATTTCTCACTATTAACTGCACTTCCACTGCCAGAGCCTGGAACTTCCATCCCCTCCCAGGACAGACGTTACTTCCTTCCCGGGATCTGCAATAACAGAACACCTCATATCTGTAGAATGCTTTACAATGCACAAAACACACATAGAGCTAGGAATTCCTTCTGATCAAAGACAGCCTTTGTGATGTCATTAAAGGATCTTGGATTTTTGGTTTTCCAAGTCTTTTCTTGGATTTCAGAGTGTTATTATCTTCCTATGGATTTGAGTCACCTTCTTTAAAAACTATCTTTCTACCCACAAAATCCTTCTTTTTTCTCGCACATATTTTTCTTCAATTACATAGGTAATTTTGGCTTTAGAGAGTTGGTCAAAGGAAGTAAGCCTTTAGAAAAATAAATGTGTAAAACAAACCTCCGATTTAGGAATTGAACTGCAAACACTTTCTTCCTCCACGATGACGTTCAGCAACTGAACTTACATAAGCCAAAGTACATGTGTGCATTTGCTAGCAATTTAGCCATGATTTCAGAAACACAGTCGTTGCTTTAAGATGCTTTTTTTTTTTTCTTAAGAAGTGCTCTTTTTGAGGTGACTAATGTTCTAATCCCTTCTTTTTTCCTGAAAGGGGAAACAGTTTGACATATTTCAGCTGGTCCTTAGAGGAAGCTGCAGAAGAAATTTACTACATTTCCTGTGGGTTTTTTTTTCTTTTAATAGGCATCTTTTAAAAAAAAAGTCTTTTTACCTTTTTAAAGCCCACTTCACTGATGTCTTTCCTCTTGGACATAATTCCTCCAGGTGTTCAGGCAGAGCTTATAAAACTTTCTACCATGATAAGTCTTTCTTTAGACAGCAAGTCCTTCTGAACTTTTTAAAAGAATGAGACCTCACCAGGCAAATTTATCACAAGGTTCCTTTTCCTCCCAGTCTAACCCATTGATCCTCACATCAATTCATAGTTGGCCATTGGAAGGTAAGACAATGGTCATAAACAATTGAAAGTGTTTCCTAGGTGTCCGGAGCTCTTCAGGAGAAAGAGGAAATAACCAAGTGGTTTCATGGCAGCCTATAAAGTCTCCGTCAGACGCATTGTGATGCCATTATTAATCTTGAACTGTGAGTCTAGCTTCTCTTTACTGTTTTTTTTTCTCTTTCCCCAGATATTTTTCTTCCCTTACCCGATACCCTTAAAGCCAATGCCTGTGGTACCGACCTACTGGAAAACAGAAAAAGGAACACAACAGTTAAAATCAAGAGTTTCCTTTGGTTTCTTTTAATATTCCTTCTGTTTTCCAAGGAGTTTCCAGATCATGATTAACTGAGGGTCTGTAGCTTTAACATCCTTACCACCTTGTCTCTTCTATAATTCAGGCCTACAAACATCCCAGGGAGTGTCTTTAAAACAGGAAGTTGCTCAAGAAAATTATTATCTTTAGGAGGACAGATCTATGGCCCAATCATTGCAAAGGCCAATTGCCTGTTCTTCAGGGAGGGAAGCAGAAAGAGGCCCCTGTCAGGAGCAGAGGAACTAAACAAGGCTGCCATGCTCTCTCCACTCTCTCTTACTCCTCAGAGGAGCCACAGGCTGAACTGAAAATAAGAGTCACTGAGAGCAAGGTTTTCAGAAGTCAACAGAGACAATTGAGTTTGCTCATATTTTTCAGTAAAGCAGTAAATGGTTACAAATACCCTTCATTTTCCTTCCAGGGCCTCACCTTGCCCATGGTTCAGTGAGGAGCCTCACAAAGCCTTCCCATTTAAAATTCATTCATTCATTCATTCATTTTTACTTATTCTGCTTCATTTGTTACAGAGAGCTCCACCTTTTGTATGTCCATTCCATTGGCTCCCAAGATCCAAGAGGATGGGGAGGCAGCCAGAGAGCCAGGTAAGGAGTTCAAACACTTTGATTAAATGTATCCCATCCTTTGCTACCTTTATTTACTGTTTTGATTGAAAACATTCCTGAATCTTATTTCCTAGAGCCCAGGACAAAAATGGGATTGAGAGAAAGATCCATTGACCAGCATGTGAAAAGTCTCTGTACTCAAGTCCAAATGGATTTCAAATTCAGTGTTAAAATCTCTTCCAGAGTAAAACTGAAACATTGAGAAAGTAAACAATAAAGCAATTCTGTAATAAGTGTCTATGTTGACCTTCTGACATGGGATGAACATAGTTCTCATAATTGGCTCAGAACAGGAAGGTCCTGTATAATAACTGATGTGGGTTAGGATTCCTGGAGGCAGAGGGGTGTCCTAGCTGACATTTCTGCATGGGGACCATAACAAGGCATGGCACACAGTGGGCATTCAAGAAATGCTTGTTGAGTAAGCATATGAATAATAAAACTGAGTTAATATTAGATTCTTCGATAAGTTCAGGCAAACGGTCATGGGAAAGAGAAATAGAAGGTAACCATTCAAAACATCCCTTCATTTAGTTGAGTTTCTCAGGATGAGTGGACAGGGGATCCAAAGTAAAAGAGACTGAGCTTATAGATCCTTCCAAGTTCCTTCCATGTACAATTTTTGAGGTCTAAAAAATAAAAAGCTTTCTTTCAAAACAAAGTATCACACTATGAAAACACTACATGTTTGATGTAGAAGCCTTTTTAACATCAGTAAAAAAAAGAAAAAATCTTTCATTATTTCAAAAACAGGAAAGTGGTTTCAAATTTCTTTGAACATTTTAGAATTTAAAGGTATTTCCCATGCATGAATAAAATCAGATTTTCATCAAAAGGCTTTTGAGCAAAACTCCACACTTTTCTCCATAAAACAAAACAAATATTTTTCAGAGTAATATTCTCTTACACAAAAGATTTTTTACAAATCATTACAGTGTTCTGTGGGAGGGAAATAAAATTCAAAATTATTCAGTAAAATATTTTTCTTTCATTTTTTATTGCTACTATGAACAAGAAAGCATTAAAGAGGATGAATGACTATAGATGAAAGTTAGCCTGCCAAACATAAAGAAAAAAAAATTCTTTTAATGTTTTGGTCACGAACTCTGACAATGATAAATCACTTTTCAACAGCTGCAGACAGCTGTTAAAGTTTGGAGCCTATAGCGCTTAATTGGGGAAGTGTGTTAAAAGTTAAAGGGCCAGTGTCCTTTAGGTTGTGTGACAAAATTTTTCAGCAGATTCATAAGAATGTAGTCTAAGGTTTGGGAAAGAGTATGCTAATGGCCACATTGTTAGACTAAAAACTTTAGATGGACAAATATAAACTACAGGAAGATATAAATAGATAGCAATACAGATATAAAGACATAGAGACATAGATCTGAAACAAAGGCAAGGTAGGTTGCAAGAGGGTTTTCAAAATCATATTTAGTGATGAGAGTATGGATTTTTTTCCCATCAGATATTTGACACTGAAATTCCTAATTGCTTCAATAGGACATTATTGCAATTAGTAAAGTTTCCCAAGTTTAATTTACTTAGTGATGAATCTCAACCCTATTCAAATCAATAGAACAAGAAATTTAAAATTTTTAAAAATTAATTTGTGTGTGTGTTGTGTGTGGTGTTTGTTCTGCTAATGTTTGGGCAGTGAGACATTGCTAGTTAATTTAGGGATTTCTCTACCTTAGATTTTTCTTCATTAGCAGATTTCAAACCAGTTTTTAGTTTTTTCTTTTTTCAAGATTAACAATTGCCAAATAATGTTCTTCAGAAGCAGCCTTTGCTGATTTGAGCATGATAGTTTTTTTCCAAAGCATGTTCTTTGGTGAATGTAGCTATCTATGGATATGTTTATATTCTGCTATTCTCTGCAAGAACCCATCTGATGGTTTTATTTTATCTTCGCCATAGGTACCAAGAGTGTGAGGTTAAACATCATATATCTGTTTGAAGAGGGCATTTCCCCTTGAGTAACTGTCGCTAGGTCATTTCTCCTCTGTAAAACTCCTGACACTCAGGAAAGGGAGTAGTTCTGTTTCACACTCCGTAGCAAAGGTGATCTCTGGGAATTGTTTGCTGAGCAATCTGCTGTTACACAATACATCATTTTTATTGGAAATAAGGCAGATGTCACCAACAGCGGAGTTTGTCCAAGGTTGGCTCTGAAATTTCCTTTAAGACATTGTGCTCCCAATCAGGCAGAAAATTGCCGTCAGCTATGGCAGATTGAAAGATCACGTTGCAGCGTCCAAGGACGGTTTATGACTTTTCCAGCTAGACACAGAGTGGGTGGTGGAGAGTGGCCTCGTGTAAGCCTATTTGTTCCAGCTATGATGCATCTGGAAACATTGTTCCTGTTTGCCAGTGTATAAAATGTGGGGAGAAACATGCCATAAAAATATATTGTAGGAAGTTCGTCTTTTGTAAAGTAGTGGGTTAATGTCAGGGATAGAAAAATAAGAGGATCTACCCACAAGTCAGTAAGAGGTCTCTGTAGAAAACTTTCCATTTTAAGCAATCCTATCTTTTGCTTTTAAATAACCTAGGATAAAAGATTTTAAGCTGAAGCTCTTTATCGCTAATTTTAATTAGAGAGACAGGTTTGCACATTTAGTTTGTAAGAATCCTTTAGGTCATTCTGCACATACGGGATAATGACCATGGTTTTGTGACTTATATTGCAGAACTTTACAAAGGCTAGCCAGATTCAGAAAAATCAGGGGTCAACTGTTTTCTCTCGTATGAGGAAGGTAGAGCAACGTTTTGGGGGAAAGGGACTGGGGCATTGAATATCATAAATGTAGAGGGAAGATCAATGGAACCGAGGAAGGAGCATACAGGGAGGGAGGGAGAGCGAGGGGATCAATGAGGACTGAAATGAAGTAAATAAAATTCCATGCATGTATGATTTTGTCAAAATGAACCCAACTAGTATGCATAACTATAATGTATTTCTGAAAGCACACAAAAAGACAAATACTATAAAAAACAAGTCTCATCCACACTTCAAATACGAGACAGTATTGTACTAATACTCTGCACTAAAATTTAAACGATGGTTTCCTTTCAATGTGGAAGGATTTTTTTTTAATCCCACTCATCACATAACAAAGAGCAGTGGAGAAGGATGATAAAACTCATGTATTCCTCACAAGGGTGGTAAGAAGGTTCCTGTCCTCCCCTGGGTCCTGCCTTACATTCCCTTGCTGCCTCATTATTCACAGCGTGATCATGACGATATATTTTTGTGAAGTTAACACTAACTGTTGTGAAGAGGTTCACCCTAATATTTCATTCAGTGACTCGATAAAGTGAGTGTTTGTTTCCTCTCACATTCCAGTCCATTGTGGGTATTCCTGGTCGGGCAGTTCTGCTCAAGTGATCCTTTCAAGGGATGGCATTTATCAGTTCTGTGGCTCTACCATCCTCAACATTTGGCTACCAAAGTAGCCTTAGGGCATGCTATCCATTAAGGAAGAAAGAAAAGGGAGGTGTTTGGGGTACACATCCCATTTTTCAATACCATTGTCATCAATCACGCCATCACAGTTTCTGGTTTGGTTTTATACTAGGGTTTGAACTCAGGAGCACTTTACCGCTAAGCTACATCCCCAGGCCTTTGTTTAATTTTTAAAAAATTTTTTAAGACAGGGACTTGCTAAGTTACTGAGGCTGGCCTCAGACTTGCCATCCTCTTGTCTCAGTCTCCTGAGTCACCTGGGATTACAGGTGTGTGCCACTACACCCAGCTCAATCTCAGAGTTTGATCTTCATGCAAAGAATTCTGGGCAATGTACTGCCTGGCTGGGCAGACGCTTCCCAGTAACTCCATACCTCCAATGCTGGCAAGGAGTTTCAGTAGACTGCTGCTGTGGTTTAGATATGTGGTGTCCCCCGAAAGCTCATGTATGAGACAATGTAAGAATCTTCAGAGGAGAATTAATAGATTATGAGAGTTGTAACCTAATCATTGGATTAGTCACTGATATGGATTAATGGAGTGGTAACTGTAGGTAGGTGGGGTGACTGGAAGAAGTAGATCACTTGGTTGAGACTTTGGGGCTAGTGATTTCTCCCTGGTGTGTGAAGTGCTCTCTCTGCCATGTTCTGAACTGCTTTCCTACATCACACCCTTCTACTGTGGTGTTTTGCTTCACCTCAGGCCTAAAGCCATGGAGTTAGCTAACCATGGACTGAACCTCTGAAACTCTTAGCCAAAATAAACTTTTCCTCCTCTGCATTGTCCTTGTCTTTCTTGTCACAGGAAAGTCAAAGTTGACTACAACAGGCACAAAGACCTCAAATAACTCTCCTGTATTTTCTCTTTCTCTGTGCCCAATACTTGTTCACCTGTTTTAGGGCTCATGAACTGAGGCAAAACTTTGGGCAAAAAAATATAATAATAAAAGCAGTGGATACTATAAATTTTATTTTGTGCAAATCTTATGTTCTGCAAATACTATAAATCTTATTTTGCTGGAAGTCTCCAAGCAAAAGAAACTCTTTGACTGCTTTTGCTTTTAGAGTTGTCAACTCGTTAAGGACATAAGAATTTAAGAATTGGAAATCAATTAATATAAAGGTATGTCCCCATTCCCCCAGTACTTTCCCAATCACCAACCAGGCTGAGAGTTCAGGGTATGAGGCACACAATTTTTCTTAGTATTCAAAATATCCTGGAACATGATGATTATTTTTACCCAAAGTACATGTATGAAGATGCAAATTGGTGTGAATATACTTTGTATACAACCAGAAATATAAAAAATTGTGCTCTATATGTGTAATAAGAATTGTAATGCATTCTGCTGTCATATATAAATAAAAATAGAAATAAATAATGGAGAAAAAGTGAAAAAAAATAAATACTCTGAACTTAAAAAAATCTAGCACATAGTATATGATAAATAAATCTTTTAATGTTTGCCTGTATGTGTACATGGGAGAGGGAATAATTTTGGGAGGAGTAAACACAAATAAACTTAGCCTTTTCTCCTGCTGGAGACTGTTTCTAAGAATAAAAATATTAATTAAAATGTTTCTTACTACAATTTTGTGAAAAAATGAGAGGTATATAAAACACTAAATTTAAAAATTAATTTTAAAATGGTACATAAATGGTGGAATTGGAGTTTCCAAGAAAAAGAAGTAGAAAATTCAGTGAATAGAAGGAGTTTAATTATACAGATTACTTAGGTTTATCAAGT